TGTTTTTCTGCAGTAACTAATGAGATATCAATAGCTCTGGATAAACTCATCCCCGAATAAGCTCTGGTTAAATTAACAAAATGGGAAGCCCCTGAGCTTAGGAAAGCAGCAATAAAGCTAAGTTAGAGAAGAGAGGAAATCACATTTTTTTCAAAAAGTCCATCTGTAAGCAATTGTGCTAATGCTTTAAAGATGGATCAGCTCAGGCTTTTGGAGTCAAACAGGAAAACAACCAGAATTCTTATCGGGAAAGAAATTTTTCAACCTGAAAAGAGATTCTGTCAAAATGTCAAAGGCCCAGATTTAGGTTCTGCTAAAATAGACTTTTACAAGACCCAACCTGAATAGAAACGTTGAGTTCAATTACGTTTTGACCTCAAGCAGAGGGAGGGAGACAAGCAACACAAACCTCAACACGACGCCGAAGGTAAATCAAAAAGAAACCGGACTTACGAAGGGCCAGCTCTCCTCCCGACCCGATTCCACGGAACGCACAGCGCTAACGTGCAGAGCAGAGGGAAGGTGTTTCAGTTGAGGTGTTATTCGCACCAAAGTTGACCAAAAAAATGAGCCTGGGAAACACGTCACCTGGGCAATAAACGTAACTGCAGTGCAGAGCCGTTTCTCCTCGTTCCCCTGAGGACGAAACCTGTAAGCAGACGTCGGAGCACCCTGGCCTGCTGCTGGACAGCGCGGGAGCTGCCGGAGGCTTTGGTGAGAAGCAGCTGGAAACAGGAGGAAAAAATGCAGATTTGGTGAAAATGTGTTTCTGAATTCATTCTAATTTCATTCAGCTATTCTGACCTTCTCTTTTCCTTAACTATTTATGCTTAACTTTGACATTAAAATTCCATTTCGTTTGCTCAGAAGTACTTTCTTTAGCAATGTTTAATTAGATTTTTAAGAACATATTTATATATATCAAAAAAATCAGAAGTAGTCTAAACTGAAACAACATATTCTGTGGTAAAATAAAACTGAACTTTTTTTTAATTTGGTAAGAGGGGGCATTTTTTTCGCTTTAAGTGAAAACTATTCTGTGACTTTTCCAGAGTCACAGGAAAGCCAAGCAGCCTGGTGCTTCCCTGGCGGATGCAGCAGCGCCGGCTGCTCCTGCCCCCACAAACCGCACCGCCGGTGGAGGGAGGAGATCGTGGGAAGGTGCTTTGCAACTCAGCAAGATGAAGAGTCACTAATTAGGTCACGACTTTCACAGAGGATTCCATAGGTCGCTAATTAGGTCAGGACGTTCATAGAGGTCCAGTGGAAGATGTCCCTGCTCATGGCAGGGGGGTTGGAACCAGATGATCTTTAAGGTCCCTTCCAACCCAAACCATGCTATGATTCTATGATTAATGAAGACACTTTATGTGTGCAAAACGAGTTTTAAATGCTAAAGTATTCCATAATTATTTACTAGACCAGATTTGCTCACGCAAATGGTTTTGTCCCTAAGATTCTCGCAAAGCAATGCCTGCCTTCTAGTGATATGCATCACGTAATTCATCATAAAATCTTGAGCAGTCAAAAATAAAGGTAGCCAGCAGCTGAACTGCGCACCGAACGCTTTTCAGTCAACACTGCCAGGCGGGCAGAGAAATTCGGCGATCAGGCCTCCGCCGGCCGCTCCCTCCGGCCCAGCCCCCTCGTCACGCACCGGAGGCGGGGCGCCGACCCGATTACTGCTCA